CTGATATTCTTGTCGGTTGAAAAATTTTTATTAATGAATATTTTTTATTTAAACTTAAATGGAAATAATCAGATGAAGTATATGATAGAAATGAAAGGTATTGCTATGATTTATGGTAGAAGGAGCTAGTTAGTTTATTTTTTAGCTTTATTCAAACCAGTTCGTCTCCTATTTTACTATTATTAAGGTAGTAAAATTTAATAAAAGTTAATTCAATTAGCATTTGATCCAATTCGTTTGTAGTTAAGCAAATAAGATAAGCAATTCGAGCATAAGAAATTATATTTTATTATCTAACTTGCTTTTTTATTGTCAAAAAAATTGCTCAAACTTGAGTAATTCTTAAAAGATGAATTTTTCATTTGGTTTGAAATAATACATTTTTCAAATATGCATTTAGCTCAAATAGCCTAAGTAAGTAAAAGTTGCAAATGAACTTTCAACTGCTAAATCAACTTTTGGCCAAAAAATCGAATCGTATAATTGATTGATTTTCAAAGCGTCATTTTATATCGATCATACTTTTGATCTGTCCATGATCGTAGTGTAGCGGTACCTCAATGAGGTTAACTTTTCCTTATTTACTTCTCCTAAGGTACTCTCCCGCTGGCATAAAGATAACTTAACTTATTTTCTTTTATAATTTTTGAAGTTTTGTTAATTGATTTAAATTTATTGAAAAACGTTGAATATTAATTCGAGCTATCAGACAGCAAACATTACTGAGTTCATTTGCACAATATTGGGCCAATTGAGATGAGAGAAGGCGCATTTAACACGGCACCAACATTAAAAGAGTTCAATAGATTGGAAATGAGCCAAAAGAAATTTATCAATCAAAAAGAAAAAAATTTCTTAAACCATTGCTTATTTATTTTGCTCAGTTTTTTTCTCTTTCTTTTTCCTTTTTTCTTTTGCTAAATAAAAAGTTGATAAATTAGTTTCCAGGATGGAAAAATTTTCCTGGAAGTGGTAGATTGAATTCGAACAATGATCATAACATGGACAACACTTCTACATTTTGCTTTTCAGGAACATTTCAGAACTTTCAGTAAAAATACAGTTTCAAAATTTAAAAATTTTTTAAAAATAAAATTTGATTGAAATGAAATGGATCAAACGAATTTAGACATTACAAAAGAGAAGTGAAAATTGAATATCTCGGATGTAATTTAATTTTGGTAGGAGAAATTTTTTTTTTCGTTTCATTCATTCAGAATATTAGAAAGTTTGAAAATAAATATTCATGTGATAAACCTGACAATTTCTTTAAATTACAAAAATAATGCAATCTTCTCTTTCCATTTTTATACATTTATTCAAAATGCTGAATAAATTGCACAAAATTTAAACGGGTTACGGAACAATAATGAATTATTTTCCATAAAAATTTTTACTGTGTGAATAAAACAATAATTACCTTTTATTTTTTTTACTGATAGTTGTCATTCTTACTGCTGTTGTTTATTGTTTATTGTCATTGTTTATTGTTGCTGTTATTACTGTTGATATATGAATCTGTAAAAAGCATCAAATAAATTTACATTGTACGTTTTTAATTCCTTTCTGAATTTCGTACAACGAATAATTTTCGTTTTACTCTTTGACAAATACTGATAGGTATAAATTGCACTTCAACGAAATATCGCCAATTAAAACGAGTCTTTTTTTCCATTTCGTATTTTTTTACTCCATTCATTTATATTGTTAAAATATAAGAAAAAAATAACGGTATTTTATTAAAGGTAAAATAAGAAAAGAAATTATTCGCAATAAATTTAATGGTTATCCATTATTTCTCATTTGTACATTTAAACGATAATTTAATATCACTTTTTACGGAGTGTAATTATGTCGTTTATTGTCCATTTTTCCTATTCCAATTTCATTCAAAAAAGAAAATTTTAAAGATTCAACCAATATGGTTGAATTGCAACAAACAGTTCGAATGTTTTGCTCTTTCATATTCAGCCATCGTACCTTTATTATGGCTATGTGGGGACAGAAGAATTTCCGTTAGTTCTGAATCTCATGAGAATTAGGAAGCGATCAATCTCACAGATCTCATTGATATGAATTTAGTGATTTATTAAAATTCTCAATATTTAATTAAAATGTCTCACCCACTTTGATAGATATTAACAATCACAGCTCCAAAAGTTTATGCACTTTTTTCCTTCTTTTATATCCCTCTTTTTCGAATTTTCCATAAGTTATCGAATGAGAAGTTGTAGTTAATATTGTTACTTAGAAATGTCCGCATTTATTCCTAAAATCTTTTTATGATTTGATATTTCGATAAAAAAATTTTAGTATGGTCTAAAAATAACACAAAATCATTTAATCACTTCAATGAGATTAGGATGGAATTCATATGATTGATTCTGTAACTATCTATTTTTTTGCATCTTTCGAAATTTTCCACCTTTAAAGAATTGTCTATTTTATGATCGATTTGATTTGATAACATGATATTTATTAAAATTGTAAACTTTTGTAATATTATAGTAAATTGTTTATCTGACAGTTAAATAATAACTAAAACTATAACTCTAAGGAATGATTTAAAAGCATTTTGCTTTTTTGTAGATATATCGTTTTTTTCTACTCGCTTTACATATGAAAAAAATTTGTTACACTTCAAAGTGATCTAATATTTTGAAAATCACGTGAATTTTTACTTGAATGTTGAAATAGAATCATATAGTCAAACATAATTGCGCCAAACTTATTTATCTTAGGCTATTTTATCACCACTTCGGCTAAATTTTTAAGTACATTAAAAAAATTCACCGTTTTTCAAGTTCAATATATTCTCTTATCAATAGAATTCTTTCATTTTATTTTAAAATTTCATTTAAAACTTTCTACTCCATATTTTATTAATTCAACAGCTTGATATCATGATTTAGACAATATTCACAAGAAATGAATTAAAATCATTCAATTTTAATTCTCAACAAAAACTTCAAAACTTTAAAAAAAGAGAAAAATACCTTACAAAATTAAATTTCCTGACTTTTTTTAGTTTTTCGATTGTTTGTAATTCATAAGTTTTATAGATGTCTTGACAAATGGAATTTTTATAAATAATTCACAACAAATATTATAACGGTTAATTGTACGTTAAAGCTCAGAGTTGTATTGAACTGACCGAATTCTTCAAGAAATCTTTTGTCCGTAACAGAAATTGCATTAATATGTTAGCAAAAACAAAAACAAAACCAGAAATGAAAAACAGCTTCTTTTTATTCTCTTTCACAGTTTTCCAACTTCAGGAATTTTGAATTCTTCAATTTAAAACAAAATTTTCTATTCATTTTCTAGTCTCATTGTTTATCACAAATTGTTATTATATAAAATCTCACGTGAAAATAAATTGATTAGCTGTATTGAGAATTTATAATTACAACAAATAATTGTGGCTCAAATATTTCAGTGACAGAAATATAGTAAAATGACAAAGTATCTATTAAGTGTGCACTTCTAATCATTCCTTTGTCAGAAAATTGATAACGAGTGAAAAAGAAAAAAAAAACCCATTTGAAATGACTAGAGGTTAACAGGTCATCACACACATATGTACATTTTCAATTGAAAAAATAATGAAATATGTCGAAATCAAAATAGGAATTTGCAATATTGGCTAAGGGAATTTAAATATTTTGAAGAGGCTTAAATTGAATGAAAAATAGAATTGGATATGATAAAATTAATTCTTTCTTGTTAGAAATTTCTTACTAAACATGGAGCTATTATCAATGGTGAAAATACATGAAATAATTGAGTGTTTAAAATATTTACTTTGTTATAATGAGAATGATATGAACTATATTTATGCTGCTGTGCAGCTCGGAATTCATTTTCATATACTCTTTCTTGTTGGAAATTTCTTACTAAACATAGAACATCCGTACATGTGCATATTTTCATCAGTGGTGAAAATATGCACATGTACGGATGACCTCTCGGATACTGAGGTAGCCACTATTTCCGGTAAATCCGATGGATCAAATGAAGAATGTACTGTTGATGATTCATTGTTACTGTTTATTTCAGTAATTTGCAATTCACTTGGTAATGCAATTTCATTTTGAATTACCTCTTCTTCCATTTCTATACTTGTTTCTTCTTCCATTTGTGACCTGAAATTTCAACATTTATTTATGACCTGGAAAAAATTTTTTTTTTGAGTACAAATAATGTGCAAAACAATCATGTAAATAGTATAAATTTTACAAGTGTAAAAATAATGTGAAAAAATTATTTCTTAGAGAATATTGGTTGCATAGAATGAGTTTACCTAATAAACGGAGGTAATTTAGTAGCATCTTCATAGGTTGGTAATGGTGGCAGAATGTCTGTTTGATGGGATCTTCCTGAAAATCCAACATAACAATTATATTCTATCAAAATTTTGCAGAATTCAGAATTATAATTGGTAATTACTGAACACCTCGATAGGGGCTTATGATGTAAGGAGGAGGTCCCTCATTGGGAGATCTATTGATTCTGAATGATAAAATTCTCGAATCCTCCGGTACTAGTATATTGCCAAGACGTGAATTAATTTCAATGCCTGATCGGGCTAATGCTTCACGTCGAACAGTAGCAAACCGATTTTGTACCTAAAATTATGAATTGAGCAAAGATATTTAAATTTATGCAAAATGATCCTTTAAAGGCAATAAAAAAGTTTTGACGACATTTTAAAATAATATGATTTCGTGGAAATTCAATGACGATCCCCTTTTTTTATTTATCAAATTAATGTTTTTTCATTCTTTTCAATTTATCAAATACCTCTAATAAACTGAAAAACTTCGAAAATTACAATTGCAATTTATTTCAATAAAATTTTTTTTTTTTAAATTTCCTCCTATAGCAAATATATGAAAGTGTTTGAAAGAATGCTACGAAATAAAATACATAAATGGCAAACAGAGAATTTCTAACAAAATTTCACAATATTTTAAGCAAGTTTAGGTCGAAAATAACCTGCATTCGATGCTTCATTAACAAATACATAGAAAGGATGAGGACAGCGATCATAACAAGGCTGAATATTGTGCTCGATACATCTCGAGTAAGAAGATTATTGTCTTCGTACACATTCTACAAGTCATTTTTAATTAATAATGAATGATGAACAAATTAATTTATTCTGATTACGTACAAATTCAAGAACGCTTGATGATAAATTTTATGCAATTAAGTTTTTCATCTTCAAAATGCTTTCTTTTGGATTTGGTTCGAGTAAAATTAATTAGTTCTCATTCAAATTTAAAGCAAAATTGCAATTTTGATCATTTTTACGAATGAATTTGAATGATAATTGATAGCTGCTGTTTATCTAAATGTTAATCATCTGCTCATTTATCATTGTATTACTCCCCTTTATCAGGGCGTGACATTTAGTCAGTCTAGTCAGTGGATGAATTTAAATTAAATAGTTTGATGATTGGAAACATATGTCCATAATACACAGCAATGTTCGGCATGAATTACTCTATAATACATACATAATTTATTACTCACATTTATTAAAACTCTCTTGACTGACTGTACTATTAAAACACTTAATTGTTTCATTAAAAGTTAATTAAATAATAAACAAATTTGATGTGAGTAATTATTGGAATTAGCTGTGTAATTAATTGTCTATTTGTAGAAACATTTCATCATTTTTACTTGTAAGAAAACGCCATGACAATCTCCAGTTATCGTTGAACTGACTCTTTCATTCCCACTAATTCATTTCTCGTTATTAAATCAAAGCATTAGATGAGTTTTTGGTGCTTCCTTACAGAACACATTTCTCTCCACCCGTGATATTTCATGTTTTTCAAGAATTTCAATAAATCCCCTCAGGCATGTCAATATTTGTTAAGCAGATGTAATCAGTTTCTTGTTTTGTCCATTATCGTCAATTGGGAGTAAGACTGATAAAAATTATAGTTGAATGAATCATTCAGGAGACTGATAAAAATTATAGTTGAATGAATCATTCAGGAGTTGAAATAACCTGCTTAAAGTGGGTATTTCATACTGGAAGAATAAATGTGATAAGTGGAAAGGAAGATAGCGAACCTGTTCACGATAACCATGAAATCGCAACATAACCGATGTATGATTGGCATCAATTTCGCAATGATAACCGAGAAAATTTGGTGGACATAAGCACTGATGTCGCATCTGAGTGCCACCATTCAAACAAACTATATTTCGACACTCCTCATCCTGATAAAATGGTGTGCACGCGCAATAATCACGACCATCTGCGCCTATAAGTGATGATTGTCACGTCAACGAGCAAATAAACAAACAATTTCGAAAAGATAAGTAAAACAATATTGTAAATTGATGACATTTTAATGCTATAATAAAATGGTTGATAATATATCAAAACGATCAATTCATCTCAGCAAAATATTTGCTTTGCATAATCTTTTTTTTGCTTCATTGATTTGAAAATAATTTACGAGTGGTAAATATAAATTATTAAAGCAAACTGCTTTTGAATTAACTTTTAAATGTGTAAAATTTTAACGTAAGAAAATGTCACATAAAAATGTTAAAAAGATTTTTTTTTTTTGAAAATTCTAAATGGAAAATATCTCAATGTAAGTAAAAGGAATTAATCTTATCGTCAAAATGAATATTAGCGAACCTCTCATTCGTTGACCATGATCGCAATATTTCTCACATCGCGCGCCAAAATATGGCTCAGGACAGATGCAATATGAATTTGAATTGAGTGGACGATGGCCATTATTAAGGCACGGCTTAAGGCGTCTGCAATTTCGATCCAAGTATTCATTTGCTGGCACTTCTGCAAAAATTTTAACCTCACAAATCTGACCATGGTTAAAATTTTTCTTAAATACAAAACAAATTTCATTCATATTTCAACTTATTTAGAAAATTTTTTGTTTGTTTAGATGAAAGCCTAAAAATGATAGATACATGTACGCCAACCTGGACATTTACAGACCACACCTATGCCAGTGAAATCATCAAAAGTGAAGAGTGTTGAAGCGGAGAGAAGATAGCTGCCGTGATATATGCGACACTTAGAAGTCACCCTCTCTTTTGTTGCACCTGTCGTTCGAGATCCAACATTAACACCGTGTTCATCGTAACGCTCATCAGTTACGTAATCCGATTCTTCATGAGTCCAATTTCGAATAATCTAAAACTATCATCATAAAACACAATGTTATATCACTTTATTTTTGGAATTGAAATAATCAAATGAAATTGACTTTCATTCCCACAAATGCAAATTTTAATAATTTTTGTTCATTTCTATTTTATTTTCAAGCTAAAGTTTACTAATATTTGAAACCTGGGTAATCCGTTAAAACTATAGAAATTTATTGCTAATAAAATGCCTAAATGATGAAATAAGTTATTTTATCTGACATCAGATTTTATGCACACATAACAAGTTTCTTAAATTCTTAAATCACTGAACGAATCCATTTGGAAGTAATTGAATATCATAAAATTCGGCATTGCCAATTGTATTTTTGATCAAAAGTTTCAGGACAAATGACAAATGTTATTTAACAATGGAAATTAAATTTCATGTCTTTCTCAGGTTTTCAATTTTTTTAGAAACCATAAAAAATTGCGTAATTTTATTTCATTCGGGATTTTTGTTTTAAACATTTTTCCAGATTTTCCGATTAATTTTCCTATTAAAAAATTATTATCCGCTAAAAAGTTAATTGTAGCTAATAATAAATTCGTTGTTAAATTGCCAAAGCAGTAAGATTTGATTAATAATAATGAAAATGTAAACTTCATTCTATCTGAAAATTATGCTAATAAGGTACCCGCGGGTTTTCCGGTACCGGATATCCACTGAGACAGCAAATGATTCGGAATGGACGCGGTAACCATAATGAATTGTAACCAACTTTGGGTGATTTCGTCGTTGTGGAATTATTGTCTGCAAAATGACGAGAATTCATTCGAAGATTACAGTATTGAATGATTCGACACGGATATTTTTCCTCAAATCAAAAATTCCACTTTTTTTTTTATTTTTTAAATTTTGCTCTCTAAAATCTCATGCAGTTTTAAGTTGCGCATATTGTTATCATATGGTTAGATGTTGAATAATGTCAAAACCGAAAAGTATTTTTTCTAAGTTTCAAACATGATCACTTGCTAATTGATTAATATTCGGAATTAATGAAAAATTATTCCATCCGAGAAAATTATTTACGGGAAATCAAATAAGCGACACACCTGTAGTAGATTGGTTTTTTAAATGTTATTTCACCTAACTGTCTACTTTCTTTAAGTGATAAGCATATTTAAATCGTTAAATCTGTTGGCAATATTTCCATAGACAAAGAGGAGGTCGAAGGATGTTTTTTTAATTAAAAAATAATAATTATTCTTAGCTTACTATAAAATATTTCATTCATTATAGCTAGCATTCTCTGCCAGAAGACAAAATTCGTCGAGCAAACAACTTTTTTTTGTTTGCAAAAATTAATTAATAATATTTGGTAAACAAACCAAAATTTTCAGCACTGGCAACAATAGTAATCGTGGAAAATAAAATAATTTGGAGTATTATCATTTCTCTTATTTAGATAATTAAGCACGAAAAAATATAAATAAGCACTGAAGTGCTCGAATTTCATTGGTCCATTTTCAAACTGAAATGAAAAAATGATGCAAAGTTTGTAAAATAAGTTTGGAATTAATTAACAAAAATGTTGAATACTACAAGCATCATAATTTAAAATTTTTGCTTATATAAGTTAAGAGATGGGAAATTTTCATAATAAATAAAAATTGTTAACAATAATGCACTTGGGAAATATCAAATTATTATTGATTTCAAACATGGCAAAATTAAACCGTATTTCTTTTTTTATAAAAGTTCTTGATTTTATTATAGTTATTAAAATATTTCTTTGGTAATGAAAAATTTAACATTTTTATATTTCATTTATATGATAGGCAGTTATTTTGGCCATTTCATGAAGTGAACTTTTTAGTATTATATTTTATTTAAAGTTAAAAGTTGAAGAAAAAAATCTCACATTGGTAGGACTTAAAAAACGAATGTGAATGTCTGAGAATGATGGAAGAAAAAAAGGATGCCAATATAATTCTGACAATCGATTATTCATCATTTTTTGGTGAGGCCTAAGATATCATTTGCTACGGATATTGGATAAAAGGCATTTGATGATAGGGAGTGATTTCGAGAGAGTAAGGAAAGAGAATGATAGAATGACATTGTCTTCAAGAAAAAATTTCAAATGTACAACATGAATCAATAAATCGAATTTAACTGAAAATCAACGTTAATTATACATCTATATCTTTAGCAATTAACTAATCAAATTAGCCGGCAAAGCATTTATGATTATGGTTATATTAATGCTATAATTCTAATTAGCATTAAACATTAATATTACATTAAATATTACACTCGAATCGTTCAAAATCAAATTTGAATTTGAATTTGAACAGTCGAAAAATGTCACCTTTTTGGGATAAATATTAAATTGGCATCAAAACTTTTTCCTGTTTGATTGCTGTTAAAATTTTACTCCATCAATCAAAATGATTCAGATTGCAGCGACTTTTCGAAATTTTGTCAACAGAGAATTTACACAGGAACCAGTTTCTTAAGTTTTTAGCAAAGCTATATGAGCAATAAAAACATTATTACAAATGTTTATTTATCCTAAATTTTATTCCTGGCAACATTGAATAAGTTATTCTAAGTAAGCATTGGCAGGTTTAAAAAATACTCATACAAGAATATTGGCCGAGGTCAAATATCCTCAATATCCTCTCACAAAAAATATTCATGGAAATCAAAAGAACGAAAAAAATTAAATATTGCAATAAAGCAATTTATTTCAAAAAAAGTAAGTAATCAACTTCGAACATCCATTTCACCGTATATAAATTTCACAAAAATTATGTGCCAATTGATAGAGAGGAACGAATTGACATTTAAGGCCTAATAATAGTACAGCGATTTATGGGCATCGACAATTTCCATTCATATTTGCAAGAACTTGAAAAACTTGATGATATGTCATAGAAAATTAATCGATTTAGAAATTAAAATAAATAATGGCGTTTCAAATAAATGAAATAACCTAAAGTAAATTTAAACATTGTCAAAATTTTTATAAAAAAAAATTTTTTGATGGTAGTCTTATATTGATAGAGGATTTCACAATTTCATTTGAAAGAGTGACAAAATTTGTGTGAACGCGTAAAATTATTTGTCAAATATTTTATTAGAATTAATGAAAATTGCTTTTAAGCATTAATATTAAATTTAAAATTTTTTTAGCCTTGCAAATTGATAGTTAAAATGTTTTTGTTATCACAGTTAACGAATAATTGCAAGGAAAAATTGATCTCAGCTTTATTCTTTAAATAGCAAATTTTTTTTAAGATTAAATTCATAGAATCTTCAAAATATTTGATTCTTCTACATGTCTTTCAGGTTCAGCAGTATGCGCATGAATAAACAAAAATAATTTCATCGATTTTCTTCAAACGGAAAAAAAAAGGCCTTGAAAAAAAAACGATTTGAGAGATACAATCTTTGTTAGCTAAAAGAAACTAACGAAAAATTAAAAATGCTGTCAACATTAAATTCACAAAAATATTTATAGAATTAAAAAAAAGAAATGACAAAAATTTGAAAGATTTATGACAATAAAAAGATCAAACAACAGAATTGTGCAAAGGTTTTCAAAAACAAATGAAAAAAATAAATTAATTTAATTCATTTAGACTTCTTAATATTTGCAAAAATTTCACTTCTATTGATCAGTGGAGAAGAAAAAAATTTCTCTACCAATAATGCTAATTAAAAATGAGAAGAAATGGAGAGAATATTTTGAATAATTTTAAATAAACAACAAAATATGTGTCAGGAAGTGAGATGGAAATGAAATTTTAAATAGTAATGAAGAAAAACAAGGAAAGATCTGAAACACACCTGATTTATGCGATTTGGTGGGAGAATTTTTTGAAGCCGAAGTGAGAAATCAAGTTTTACATTCATGCAATAGGAGCTGGTTGCTTCAACTAAATTGGGTTGACTAATTTCTCGCAAGATTTATTACACTCTGCCATTTCATCAATTAGCGTGAATGTTATTGATGCGACATTTGCACTCTGAAATTTAAATAAATAATTAAATAGTCAACTACGGTGATAATATTATTTTATCATCCAAAATAATAAAATAACTTGAGCGGTTAATGTCAGAAAAAAATGGAAATGCAATTATTGCAGATCTTAATTGCTTACAATATAATTTCTTGATATTTTCTTTTTTTATTTATTGCAATTTTAAAATTTAAATTTAAAGGAATCCTTTTTTTTCTATAGCTTATTGTGAAATAATTGAAAATTAACTGGGAAATTTCGAGATGAACATTGCCAATATTGAAGGAGAAAGTTGTTTTCACAAATCCTGGCACAATATTTTCAACAAACTGAGAAGATGATTGATGTTAATAAACAGGCAGACATTCCGATTTCATTCATTTTTAATGCACATTCATTTTTAGTTCAGATCAAATTATTTTGCACATAAAAAAATCATACCATCTAAAAACACTTGATAATATTAAAAATTTTGAAATTTTAGAACCATAGCATTATTGCTAATTTATTTATACTATTTGTATTGAAATGGTGAGATTGTAAAGTTTAAGTTTTTATTTTATGTTTCGTCTATAAGATATATATGAATAACATTTAAAATAGTTGAAATAAACTGAAAAATGATATTTCGCAATTGGAAAGAAAATTTTTTGCGTAGTGTTCAAAATGGCATAAAAGGGATTGTAGAATAATTTAATTATTCTTAAAAAACATTTTGTTTTTTAAGAATAGTTAAATTATTGAAATTAGCTTAAAAATAATTGCCAAAAATTCCTTCATCAATTTATTATTTCCAATTATTAACGTGAAATATATTATAAAAGAGTGGTACGACAAATAGTGCAAATAATTAAAGAAAATAAACGAATGAGTAATTTTAAATTTTTATAGCTTTTAGTATGACTTCGATTGTAAAATTAAAGTGTCCTTTTTTCATATGCGAAAAGCCTTTTGAAAGAAATTGAATTTTATATTTGAAGGAAAAAGAATAATTTCATTAAGCAAAAATAGTAGTAAAACAATGGTCATATAATTCAGTGCTCTTCAGCTATGAAACTTTAAAAATTAGTATTTCAAATTTTCTTTTCTAAAATGGAAATCATTTTAAAATTTTGGAATTATTTTAAATTTGAAACGGTTTACATTGATAGAGATAGAAATGAAAAGATAGTCTTCATGATAAATTTATAAACATATAAATAATTGCTTATTTTTCAAGTTATCGGGAAGAGCAATATATACTAAAATGTAATTTACAGAGATCAAAGAATAAAATGTGTTACGCTTTATTTTTTTTAAATTAACTATAAAACATTTTTTATTATTGCTGACGTTAATATAAATTATTCATATTTCTATTGGAAATAGAAAGAATAATTTCTTCTAATGGCTATTTAAACTAAATTTATTCAGAATCAAAAGAAAACAGTTTCACAGTAAATGAGGAAATTATTGGTTAAATACTTTCAGTAAAAAAAGAAAGAATTATCGCTCTTTATGATCGAATGATAAAATCGTTTGCAAAAATGACTCCTAATCATATGTTTCATTATTGTCCATTGATAACAATCAAACAAAATTTTTGTTCACAAACATTAACAATAAGAAAGTGGAAGGAGAAAAAAAGAATTAAAAATGTTTTTAAATAATAAAAAATAATCTTTTAATGTTAAAAAATTACTGTACATGAAGCAAATTAAAGATAAATCTTTAAAAAAAATTTTTTTACTATTTGTTTTAGAAAAAGCAAAAAGATTGAATGTTCGGAAACAAAACAGTGTCAATGCCATTCGATGCTTCAAAT